GCACGCACACACACGCATGCACGCACACACACACACACACACACACATAGATTACCGGTCAAAAGATTGGAATAATGTTTTTCAGAGAGGTCTCTTATGCTCACTGACGCTGCATTTATTTTGAAAAAAAAAAGTAAAAACTTAAAATTAAATTAATTTCTGTGATGCTAATCTGAATTTTCAGCATCATTCCTCCAGTCTTCAGTGTCACATGATCTTCAGAAATCATTCTAATATGCTGATTTTCTGTTCAAGAAACATTTCTGATTATTATCAATGTTGAAAACAGTTCTGCTGCTTAATATTTTCGTGTAAATCGTGACACACTGCCATTCAAAAGTTTTTTTAAACATATAAAATAATACTTTTCTTCAACAAACAAAGGTGCATTGAATTCATCGAAAGTGACAGAGCCATTACATTGCTATTATAACGTTACAAATTATTTCCATTTAGAATAAATGCTGTTTTTTTAAACTTTCTATTCATCAAAGAATCATGAAAAAAACATATCACTGTTTTTACAAAAATATTAAGCAGTGAAAACCGCTTTCAACATTGATTATTAATTACTAAGCACTTTAATTTCTGAAGGATTGTGTGACACTGAAAACTGTAATTAATGTCTGCTGAAAACTCAGATTTGCCATCATAGGAACAAATGACTTTTTAAGATATACTCAAATTTACATTCTTTAAAAATTGCAAGAATATTTCAATCCACTGTTTTTCATCAGAAAAGCATGTAACTTCTGTAAAAAATCCTAACAATTCCAAAACGAATTCCACTCGATCACATGGCTCAGATGGATTTCTGAGTCCAAGATAAAAGCGCACACTCACAATATAGGTGCATTTGGGCTGGAAGGCGTACGTGCCGCATGTGTACAGGTGTGTGTGGTTGTAGCTCTGCAGGAAGCGAATGTAGTTGAAGCACTCAGTCTGCAAAGACGGCGATGACAGAGAGAGAGACACAAAGAGAAAACAGGTGAGAGGGAGGGCGAGTAAATGCATTTCAGACAAAGTAAAGCTGTTAAAACATAAAGGATGCAACATCAGCCGCTACCTGGTTATTCTTCCCCTTCGCTGTGCACTCTCTTTTCTTTTCCACCGGAGCAGACCACTCAATCTGAGAGAGAAAGAGACGTGACTTTTACGAGCAAATGGCACTCTGCATGTAAAACCTGCTGCAACTGGCAATTTACTACAAATGGCTGTGGCATTGAAAGAGTGAGTCATTTTTAAATGCAGATATTTTTGAATGATAAAATGCTAATGCACTTTTTGCGTGATGGCTTGTGGATTAGCATTTATTGGGTGCATTAGGGGTTTTCTGAATGAAACATAATGCATACCTGTGGTCGGAGCTGTCTGCTGATGTCGTTGGGATCCAGAGCAAAGATGTGCTCTCTGGCTCCAACGTACAAAACCCTCTCATGCTCCGCCAGGGTCAACATAGTGTAGTTCCACACCCCAACGGCGCGAAACCTCGCCATACTGTCGTGCACGTCTGAAAAGAGAGAGCAAATGTGGGTTTTTGCCAGTATTAAACGTGATCCAAATGTCACTGATCCAATATGACTCTTGGACTTTAAAAAAATCTCTCACATTTATCATGTTCTCCGATGTTCCTGCTGAAAATGCCAACTTAGGCAAGCATGAATTTCCACGGATACTCATAACCTTAGCTCAAACTGGTTGGCAATGTGTTAAAATGATTAATTCGGGCCAATATGAATTGAAGTGATCCAGGGCGGTTTATGCTGGTTAGTGCAGGTTTTTAGTAAGGCGGTCTTAACATTTCACGTTGGCTAAATTTGCATTAAATACTGTATTATGAACAAAAAAGAAATAACACTCAATGACATAAATGAAATCCTTATACAGGTGCATCTCAATAAATTAGAATGTCGTGGAAAAGTTCATTTATTTCAGTAATTCAACTCAAATTGTGAAACTCGTGAATTAAATAAATGCAACGCACACAGACTGAAGTAGTTTAAGTCTTTGGTTCTTTTAATTAAAAAAATGTCATTGTTAATGTTATATAAATTACATTTATACGTAAATGTATTTTAATATTCATAGGTATTGTGTTCATATTTTAGAATCATGCATATTTTAATTATATAAACAAACAACCATCCATTTACTACAAATAAAATTATATTATATTATATCACACACACACACACACATGTTGTGTTTCCATGGTTTATGGGGACTCTCCATAGGTGTAATGGTTTTTATACTGTACATACTGTATATTCTATTGCTCTACACCAACCCTACCCCTAAACCTACCCCTCACAGGAGACTTTGTGCATTTTTACTTTCTCAAAAAAACTAATTCTGTATGATTTATAAGCTTGTTTCCTCATGGGGACCTCAAAAATGTCCCCACAAGGTCAATCTCTCATTAGAAATATACCCATATATTAAATATATGCATATACATTATATCAACATATACATTATTATTCCTTTATGTTAATATTACACTAATTTTATTTTTAATAAATTATTTTTTATTAATTAATACTTTATTAATATAATTAATATTAATACATAAATATCAATAAAAATACTTTTTGACTTCTATTTATTGTAAAGCTTGTAAGTGGCTGATGCCTCTTCAGCTAGTTGACACTACTAGTCACTAGTAACTGGCACATGCTACAAGTTAGCTGTGATCTTGGGCTATCTGTTGCAGGCTTCAAACAAAGGGCGACATCTTCAATCTTGGTTTAAGCCAGTGAAGAATCCAGGAGGGGACACCAGAATCCCATGCATCCCTGAACACATGAGAACACTGTGCCTGATCTGATTTACCGCTACCAAGGCAGATGGGTGCAGAGAGGAGAGATGAGCAAGTGCTCCAGGAGAAGAGGAGAAAAGGAGAGACACGGCGAGTGGCGGTGATGGAAGTCAGGAGAGCGTGTGGTTATTAGTCGGAGAGCGGCAGCTTGTTAACGTATAAGAGGGCTGGATGATCCAAGAGGAGAGGGGAAACAGATTTCCCCTAGAGAGGACAGAGCACATCTGCTGGGCTGCAAACAGACACACACACGCTCACACTTCTAAATACCTGCATAATGACTCAAATGCCTCTCAGCTAGTCACAGAACTTTGAGTTTATTGAGCTTTGTGCTGAGCCGAGCACAGAGTGACATTTCTAATTATTATTCTGAGAAGATGTCAATTACACACAGTGGGGCAGGACGCACTTACGGATCCTGACCAGACAGTGGCAATGCTGAGCAAACTGTCCACCGAGGGGTTCACTGTAGAGGTCTGCAAGCCCGTCGGGTCCCGACACGCTGAGTCCATTCGGGCCGGGCTCGGGACATTTTTTGTTTTTTTACAGATCGGGCTCGGGTCGGACTCGGGCTCATTTAGCTTCTCTCCTTTTATTGTGCCATATATGCACAGAGCACACATAGGCCTACTGTATGAAATATTGTTATTTTGATTTTATTATAAATATTATACATCGTCATACGCAATACGCAACGTACATACACACGCATTAGCATATAGGTGACAGTTGACCATGCACAGCATCAGGGAGAAGTTGGAGCGTGGGGAGTTACTAAAAGCTCCCAATGCTTCGGAAAAGCTGTATTTTGGAAGAGTTTTGATTTGATTACCACAGCAAACAGTGAGTCAATCGGTCATGTGCAGTACAGAATCTGCAAACATATCCTTGCACATGACAGCAAAAAACGCACGCAATAGCCTAAAGCGTGCCGCAATGCCCCAGCAAAAGTAATTACCTTGAATGTGTCGGGGGGAAATAATGAGATATTTGAATTATTTATTAATAAATTAGTGTTTTTTGAGTCCGTGTCGCAATGATGAATACGACGATCCTGATCCTGAGAAATGCATCTTTACGGATTGTATAAAATCCATAAAAAGAGTTTTTGTTTTTGATTTGAATTATTTCATTTTAAAGTAGTAATTTAAAGCTTTCTATAGATATATTTAGCAAGTTTTTGAGGCAAGTTTTCGCTGAGTTTTGGTTCATCCTTGTGAAGCGCTCCTGGCCGAAATTGCAGAAAGCACATCCTGTATGTATCCTTTATTTTATGAAAGGACAACACTTTGTTGATATTGTGAGTGCACACAAATAAAAGTAGATCCTTTACAGTTCCGAGTGATGTATTACCTTTATGAGCAATAATTACGGCATATTTTAAGTTGTTTCCAATGCAAGTGATTGTGCCGGCGCCTCCGTGTCCTGTAAAGCGCACTTTAGCTCTCCGCACAAACGCTCTCCACTGTTTTGGTAGAAGGGGGAAAAAAAGTCGGGCTCGGGTCGGACTCGGTCCAAGAATTCTGATGAGCTGTCGGACCCGGGCCGGGCCAGGGCCAGGGCCGGGCTAGGGCCTATATTTGAGGCCCGTGCAGGCATCAGGGAGAAGTTGGAGCGTGGGGAGTTACTAAAAGCTCCCAATGCTTCGGAAAAGCTGTATTTTGGAAGAGTTTTGATTTGATTACCACAGCAAACAGTGAGTCAATCGGTCATGTGCAGTACAGAATCTGCAAACATATCCTTGCACATGACAGCAAAAAACGCACGAAATAGCCTAAAGCGTGCCGCAATGCCCCAGCAAAAGTAATTACCTTGAATGTGTCGGGGGGAAATAATGAGATATTTGAATTATTTATTAATAAATTAGTGTTTTTTGAGTCCGTGTCGCAATGATGAATACGACGATCCTGATCCTGAGAAATGCATCTTTACGGATTGTATAAAATCCATAAAAAGAGTTTTTGTTTTTGATTTGAATTATTTCATTTTAAAGTAGTAATTTAAAGCTTTCTATAGATATATTTAGCAAGTTTTTGAGGCAAGTTTTCGCTGAGTTTTGGTTCATCCTTGTGAAGCGCTCCTGGCCGAAATTGCAGAAAGCACATCCTGTATGTATCCTTTATTTTATGAAAGGACAACACTTTGTTGATATAGCAAAAAACGCACGCAATAGCCTAAAGCGTGCCGCAATGCCCCAGCAAAAGTAATTACCTTGAATGTGTCGGGGGGAAATAATGAGATATTTGAATTATTTATTAATAAATTAGTGTTTTTTGAGTCCGTGTCGCAATGATGAATACGACGATCCTGATCCTGAGAAATGCATCTTTACGGATTGTATAAAATCCATAAAAAGAGTTTTTGTTTTTGATTTGAATTATTTCATTTTAAAGTAGTAATTTAAAGCTTTCTATAGATATATTTAGCAAGTTTTTGAGGCAAGTTTTCGCTGAGTTTTGGTTCATCCTTGTGAAGCGCTCCTGGCCGAAATTGCAGAAAGCACATCCTGTATGTATCCTTTATTTTATGAAAGGACAACACTTTGTTGATATTGTGAGTGCACACAAATAAAAGTAGATCCTTTACAGTTCCGAGTGATGTATTACCTTTATGAGCAATAATTACGGCATATTTTAAGTTGTTTCCAATGCAAGTGATTGTGCCGGCGCCTCCGTGTCCTGTAAAGCGCACTTTAGCTCTCCGCACAAACGCTCTCCACTGTTTTGGTAGAAGGGGGAAAAAAAGTCGGGCTCGGGTCGGACTCGGTCCAAGAATTCTGATGAGCTGTCGGACCCGGGCCGGGCCAGGGCCAGGGCCGGGCTAGGGCCTATATTTGAGGCCCGTGCAGGGCTCTAGTTCACTGTCTGTTTTGTACAGGGAAAAGAACATATATAGTCCCAAACCCTTCACTGGTAACTGTGCTGAGCTGTGACATGAACGATAGCTGACAGGAGAAAAGTTAGGGATAAATCAATGTCAAAATTCTGGTTAATACGATAAGCTGAATTTGAAAATGATAAATGGCAGCTTAAAAATGCATACTATAGTAGTCAACGTTTGAAGTGGATCAAAAAAGTTCATCAAAGTTGTCCTAAGACAAGAATGCATTTTGGTTTTAGATTTTAGGACAACGTTGATGAAAGGTTTTGATCCACTTCAAATGTTGACTAGTGTATTTTAAATAAATTTAAAATAAAATCAATCCTTCCGATAGGCACCGCAACATTGTAACAATATGTTGACATTCTAAATTTACTAAAATGTAAATAAAAATAAATTAAAACTAAACCGACATTAAAACAAACTAATAAAAATCACAAAAGCAAGACAAATCTATATTTGAACAGTTATAGAATTTTAGCGTTCTTAAAAGAATTACAAAGAATTAAGCCTCACATATATACTAATTATTCAATAAATATCGTGCATCCAATGAAATTAAATATATAGAATATATTTATAATATTACATTTAACAATGTTTATGATTAGTGTTTTGATATATATTATATGTTTTACATTCATAACAAATATACAATAAATATTGTGCATCCCATGGCAAATATAAATAGGCATCACAAAATAATAATGTATGTTTACAATTTAACAATGTAATTAGTTTATGAGTGTTTTGAAAATTTTAAGACTTAAGACTTAAGTCTTACATTTATAATTTTCTTTTTTACAATAAAT